AATTTATCTGAAGAGGGAACCTTTGACACAAAGGCTAGTAGAAATATATATTTAAGCATATTTAGCTCACAGGGCAAAACAAAAATTACAGTTACAGTGACAATAAATCTTGGACTACAATGTTGAAAACTTATTTTTAACTATATTTAAACCATATTAATGATCATTATAGGTATACAGTAATCTATTTAACACATTAAAAAAAAACAGAATCTTCAAGTATCACCATGGTTTAAAGGAAATTTAAAAAGTAAAGGCTTTTTTTTTTTTTTTAGTTTGTGATGTGTGCTCAACAGAGAGACAGAGTCGGGAGGATGGGAAAGCACCCCCCACACACACATACACACACCCGTAGGGAATGGTTATGTCACAATCCTTTTTCTCCATTTTGCACTCCTTTTGGGATTTTGGGTACACACACACGCCCACTGTGTTTTACTAGCTGCTGGGTGTGGGACTTGAACTGCACAGTTGGTTATGTAAGATCCAGCTGCCTTAACCACCATACCACTGGCTACCCCAGGGCCTCTATCTTAAAAAGCCACACACACACACACACACACCCCTAATACTAACTAATGTAAGAATGCAAAAAAATGAATAATTCAAATTACATATGCCATAGAAATCAATCTGAGAGAGATGTGACAGAGATGACCAGTAAAGCTTTCTGGAGACAGATGATATGAGGGTGGACCTTAATAGGTAAGCAGGGTTTAGTCAAAGAGAAGGGGCCAGGAAAGGTGGGCAATACTGAAAAAAGGAGAGTAAAACATAACAGAGTGGTAGAGTTGGGACTAAGCTTCATGGGGCCAAGAAACAGTGAGGAAACTGACCAGCTGAAAATGAAGTGAATGCATAGAGTCCTAGGAAAGAAAGCTGGGCTAATATTGTACAGTGGGACAACATTAGGAACTGGTTTTATTTATTTTTTGTTTGTTTGTTTTGAGAGGTTTTCGCTATAGGGCGCGTGCACTCGCCATACACACAGAGAGAGACATAGAGACAGAAAGCGAGAAATCACCCCCCAGGGGGGATGGTCATGCCGCAATCCCTTCTCCTCCATTCTCCTCTCGGGATCTTGGGCATGCACGCACACGCACCCGGCGTGAGTTTTAAGCCACCGGGTCCGGGATGCGAACCGCAGTCGAGTACGTGGGAGTCCAGCGACATAGCCATTATGCTAACTGCTGGTTCCCTAGGAACTGTTTTTCATTCCAGGTGAAAGAGTTTAGTTTTAAATTTCTAAAGAATTAAGAAATCCCCAAGTTCTTTAGCCAGCATTAATAAGGCAGCATTTTATGACTATCAACTTGTTAGTAGTTGCAAGTGGAAGAGAAAGAGAGGAGGAAGGAAGACTAAGTAGATGGGTTTGGCAATAAATTATCTATGAAGTCCTGGTAGTCAGGGTTTTCCTGATGACTGTGCAAAGAGAAACAATGAAATATATGAAAGATAGAAAGGAGACATTTTGGACTACAAATCAACATGAATTTGTCATTGACTATATGTAGGTGTTAAAAAAATAAAAAGAGTCAAAATCATTGCCAGGTTTCAAGTCTAAGGGATTTAGAAAATATAAAACCGTGAGAAACTCTGGATGCCTCTGTTTTAACAGGAATCTTGGCAGCTGTCCCTGGGAGATATACTCATTGAGTTTATTTCCTTTGAAAGTGAGTTTTTCTATACCTCCTTAGAGTGAATGCTGAAAAAAATTACACACACACACACACACACACACATATGTAATGCAGTCAAAATATTCATGATAAGAATGCAGTGAGGTTTCATATTCACAGTTCAGTTTGGAGAATTCCAATTTATGGGCTAGGTTTTCTTAACAGAAATAAAAAGTTCACCATATTAGTTTGTTAGGACTGCCACAACAAAATATCACAGATTTCGTGGCTTAAAGAATAAAAATAAGCCCACAAACCAAGGCAAGGTTTGGTTTCCTCTTGAGACCTCTTTCCTTGGCTTATAGGTGGCCATTTTTTCACTGTGTCCTCCCATGGCCTTTCCTCTGTATGTGTGTATCCCGTGGTCTCTCTGCTAAATTCTTTATCTGACATTTCCATGAATTTCATCATACTGTCTGAGGATGAAGAGGAGTTATTATTTTTCCTTGGAGGAGAGGAATTTTCTTTTCTTTTTTTTCATTTTTCTTGTGACCCTGTGGTGATTTCTAGTCATCTGATGGATGGTGCATTTCTTCTAATTCTTTAAGTTCAATTTGAGTGTTCAGAGGCATGCAGGAGAAGGTGATCTGCAGTCTCTTATCCATTCTGTTCTCACTCTTTGTGCGTCCCAATCAGTGGGAATAGAGGAATATTCTGACCCTAATTTATTCAGATGTTTAGATCCGGTTCACTTGGACCTGTCTAGACATTTACTGTGTAGGAGCTGAGAAGCCAATGAGTAAAGATAAAGAAAAAGAAAAGAATTCGAGAAAAGGAAAGAAGAAAATATAAAAGAAAAAGAAAAAAAGGACAATAAAAAAATATTAATTTTAATTTTAAAAAGCAAAAATAGGAGACTAACAGCATAACGGCTATGTCGCTGGACTCCCATGTAGTTGACCATGGTTCGAGTCCCGGACCCGGTGGCTTAAACTCACACCGGGTGTGTGTGCATGCATGCCCAAGATCCCGAGAGAGAATGGAGGAGAAGGGATTACAGTGTGGTCATCCCCCCCTGGGGGGTGATTTCTCACTTTCTGTCTCCCTGTCTCTGTCTTTCTGGCGAGCACACGCACCCTATAGCAAAATAAAATAAAATAAAATAACTCTCCAAAGAAAAAAGCAAAAATAGAAAACCGCACAGTGCACAAGCACCACGCAAAAGCAATATTTCACAACTGAAGTTCAGGATCCATGTGGAGGTGGGCCTGGGTTTGTGCTTTTCCTAAACAGAATGGGGAGAGGCACCTATTAACAGAATAAAGGATCTTGAGAGCCCAGAGCATACTTTACCTTAAAAAAAAAATTTTAATTAAAAGAGTCAGGGAGACACAGAGAGACAGAGAGAAATGGAGAGAAAGAGACAGGTAACACTACCCACTAGAAATAAGTGAGAAAGAAGTCTCTGCAGAAAATCTTCATTTCAAGTTTCTGAAAGCAGTATTTCAATTGAAGTTCAGGATCCATGTCTGAAGTTGTATTTCTTTTAGAAACTCATTTATATATTTATTTCTTTTTTAAATGAAAATAGTTTTTACCAGCAGTTGCTTGACCCCTCTATTTTCATATGGAAAATAATTTTTTTAATTTTAAAGCATCCTTTTTAGAACCAGCAGGTGAGACGTAGTGGATAATAAGGTGATGGACTCCCATGTGATCGACCATGGTTTGAGTCCTGGACCCAGCTGCTTGAAATTCACGCTGTGCACATGTGTATGAGTGCCCAAAATCCTAAGAGGAGAATGGAGGAGAAGGGATTGCACCATGACCATCCACCCAGGGAATGATTTATTGCTTTCTGTCTGTGTCTCTCTCTAGCAAGCCCATGCTCCCTGTAGCAAAACTCTCTTTTTAAAAATAGTATCCCTTTCCTTTCAGCACTTTCCTAAAAACTAATTTCATTTTTAATTTACTTTGGCTGAGAGAGTAGGTAAACTGCTGATAGTTATGTGGGTTTAAAGAACTTGCTTTGGGGCCAGCTGGTGGCATGGTGGTTAAGGCAGCTGCATCACACATGTCCAACTGCACAGTTCAAGCCCTAGACCCAGCAGCTTCGAAAATATACCAGATATGTGTGAGTACGTGCCCAAAATCTCAAGAGGAGAGTGGAGAAGAAGGGATTGCAGTGTGGCTCTCCCCGGGGGGCAGACGTGCCTTCTCACTCTCTCTCTCTCTCTCTCTCTCTCTCTCTCTCTGTATCTCAGTCTCTCTCCATTAAGCATACACGCCCTATAGCAAGTTAAAAAGAGAAATTTCTTTCCCCAGAAAAATACTTTAAAAATATTACTATCCTCATACTGTCTTTTTTTTTGGGGGGGGGGGGGTTTTTGTTATAGGGCGCATGCACTCGCCAGAGAGACAGACAGAGACAGAGGGACAGAAAGCAAGAAATCACCCCCAGGGGGGATGGCCATGCCACAATCCCTTCTCCTCCATTCTCCTCTTGGGAGCTTGGGCACGCATGCACATGTGCCTGGCATGAATTTAAACCACCGGGTCCAGGACTCGAACCGCGGTCAACTACATGGGAGTCCAGCGACATAGCCATTACACCAACTGCTGATCCCCATACTGTCTTCTTACATGCTTTAGTATCTATTCCGTAAATTTACTGCTGCTTCTCAGCAATATCACACTTCTTTGTAAATCAGAAAGAAAGACTTCTCACTGCCTCTATTTTTTTTTACTTTTTTTAAGTTTGCCATAGGGCACATGCATTCACTGGAGAGAGACAGTGAGAAATTATCCCTCAGGGAGAATGGCCACACCACAGTCCCCTCTTCCATTCTCCTCTTGGGATTTTGGACATGCATGCACATGCACCACACATGTTTTTCAAGCCACTGGGTCCAGGACTGGAACTGCAGTTGGCCATGTAGGATCCAGCTTCCTTAACCTCCATGCTGGCTCAATTTTTTATCCTTAGTTGAGTAAATGAAATAACAAGGCATCTAGCACCATCTCTAACATATGACAGGTGCTAGATTTTGTGAATTTTAATTATTTTCCTTAGTCCCTTTCTTTGATTCCTAAGTAAAATGTAGACATCTTTGACTCACTAAGGTAATCGTGCCTAGTTGATATTTCTGCCCTCTTATACCATTATATAAACCGTTTACATTATTGGAAATGATTGAAGGACTGAGCAGTGAATACAGCCAGGTTCAATTTACTCTTGGTTCCATATTAACCTTAAGAGATGTATGTGACTTACCGCATTGTTTTGATGTTGTGAGCTTCACATGACATTGTTTATGGTTTGTGAAAGGTACTTCTATGGTGCGTTGAGTGTCTCTGCCTTATGGTATGTTTTATTTGTAGGTCAACATTGCTTGTCCTGAGAGGATGGAACCAATTACAAAGATCTCTCACATCCCACCCAGTCGGTGGGCCTTAGTCTGCAACCTGTGCAAGATGAAAACAGGAGCTTGCATTCAGGTAAGTTCCCATGAGAAATGGTGGAATGGGATAACACCAAATTATCTGGAGGTACCTTCTCAGAGGGAGGGTCCTGTTCTCCAAGAAGTCACTCAGGAAGTCTCCTATTCACTCCTAGAGTTCTGCCATTATACAGACCATTTCTCGAAATCCCTTTTTTTGGATGTTGCCTCTAGATCAAACTGTTTATTCTTTTCAATATTCACGGTAGTAGTCAATCTCCATCCTTTGCCATCAGAGCTGATGAATTAAGTCAGTTCTAAATCTAGATGATACCATCCCAGGTGTAAATGAGCTATAACTCTAAAACAACCAGGCCTACATTCTTATGTGTTCACCGACTAGCTACAGATGGACTTGGATTACAAGATGATTTGACATGTAGCTTTGTTGCTGGTCTAAGTAAACATTTTGGAAGGAAAAGATACATCGAAGTGGGTAGATTCAGTTAGAAAGTTTTAAAAGCCATTCTCATAGGCACATTTGTTGTGTATGATAGTGCAAATTTTCTGCTTGAAGTAGAAGTAGTAGCTTATATGGCACCCAATAGCATCTGTTGGAAAAGAGTATGGATGGGACTGGGAAAGGCCAATTTCCTCTAGCAAGGGAACAAAGGTTGACTCTTCATAATATTACTTTCCATGATGTCATTTTACTTTCTATTCCAAACGAAGTGAGGTGGCTGTACTGGTAAGAAGGAAGGAAGGACTTTCCACTACTTAGACTTCCTGCATATGAGTGTCTTCTCACCATGATCCCCTTTCTTTAGCCCTCTAGCTTGTCCAGGATCTTGGACATCCATGTACACAGTGTGTTCCAAGTCAACTAGGGATCCAAATCCATGGTCAGCCATGTGGCTTCCAGTGCTGCAGTTCAGCACACTACAACCTGCACTGCTGAGCCTGGGCCACAAAATCTTCATGTGACTTTTTCTCCCTCCTTTTAAGATTTTTAGGCACATGCACAAAATCCTGTGACAAACCACACTATGAGTATGATGACTTTTTTGGGAACAGGTAGCACAAGATTTCATTTCTGTGTGATGAAAGTATTATGGAATTAGGTAGTGGCAGTGGTTGCACAACTCTATAAAGAAATTTAAACATTGAAATGTACACTTAAAACTAGTGACTTTTTTTATTTTTAGCTTCATTTTTTTGCTATACGGCATGTGTACTCACTGAACAGAGACATATTTAGAAAATATTTATTTTCCCCCTTTTTTATATAAAAAGAGTACTTTAATTCTTTTCCTCAGAAATTATAAAGACTATACATGATTTGGAAATGAGACTGTACCAAGCAACAGCCAAAGGAGAATCATCCATTCTACACCTTCTCTTTGGTCTGGTCACTCAGAAATATAATGTTATCAGCTATGATTGTAGTCGTTGCCTGCCGTCTCACATTATTTTTATCCGTGTACTCGCCATTGTCTACTTTGCCTTCCACATAAATTCGAGACCCCTTTTTCACATACTGATATGCCACATCTCTGAGACCTGGCCGGAATACTGATATTCTGTGCCATGTTGTCTTTTGACTGACATCACCCATTTGGTACACTTCATTTTCCCCTGATCTCCACATCTCATTTGTTGCCAAAGAAAATATTGTGACTGGATTTTTTCCTCCCACCTGTCTTAGGACAGGGTCCTGACCCACTCGCTCAAGTAACTGCACACGATTCAGAGATCTTTCAAGAATCAAACTGCTAACTATTTCAGATTCATGTCTTAACAAACTGACGAAGTGCCTGTTATACAGGTCTTCAAAACATGGCTTCTATTTTCTTGTCTTACAATCTAATCTTTAGGTCTTTCTTGATGCTCTAGTCCTGACAGCCTCCAACCCGTGGGTCACTTCCGGTGCACGAAGGACCTATTTTTCCCCCTTTAAAAGTAACCACACACACACACACACACACATATGCTGAAATGCCACTACTACTAAGGTGGCAGTAATTAAAAAGGCAAATAACTGGGACCAGCAGATAGTGTAATGACTACGTTGCTGGACTCCCATTTAGTCGACCACAGTTCAAGTCCCGGACCCAGTGGCCTAAACTCATGCTGGGCGCATGCACATACATGCCCAAGATCCCAAGAGGAGAATGGAGGAGAAGGGATTGTGATGTGGCTATACCTCTTGAGGGGTGATTTCTTGCTTTCTGTCTCTCTGTCTCTCTCTGTCTTTCTGGTGTGTGCACATGCAAAAAAAAAAAAAAAAACACAACTCTCCTGAAAAACAAAGAAGGCAAATAATACTGGTAAGGATGTGGAGAAATTGGAACCCTCATGTAGGAAGGAAATACAAAATGGAGCAACCACTGTCAAAAACTTTGGAAGTTAAACATAGAGTTCCCATATGACCCAGTAATTTTACTCATAAGTAAATGCCTGCATTTCAGAGGTCTCCAAGACTGCCCTCAGGTTTAGTAATTCACTAGAAGGACTCCTAGAACTCAAAAAAAGCCATCATACTCACAATGTGGTTTATCACAGTTAAAGGATACAGATTTAAAATTAGCCAAGGAAATAGGTACATAGGGCATGGTCAACAGAGACCAGGTATGTAGCTTCTGTTGTTCCTCCCAGTGAAGTCTTACAAAAGTGCTTATGTCTCCCAGCAACAATATGTGAAAATACACACAGAGTACTACCAACCAGAAAAGCTTACCTAAACCTTTGTATTCATATTTTATTAGAGATGGTTTACATACACATGGCTAACCATCCTTGTGACTGACCTTAGTCTCTGGCCCTCCAGAGATCAAGCTATTACCACATGACCCAAAGCTTCCACCATAAATCATGTTATCTTAGACTATCTTACTTCGCCCAAGGCCCCTAGGTAAACAGAGCCACTCTTATCAGGTAGCATATTCCAAGGGCTTAAAGGTTACTTCTTAGGAGCTAGGGGCAAAGGGTCAAAACTTTCTTTGAACAAGGTTAATCTTTACTGCACAATACTCAAAAGAAATGAAAATATATCAACACAGAAACTTCCACCGAATTGTCATAGAAGCATTATTTCATAATAGTCCCAAAATAAAAATAACCCAGATGTCCATCAACTGATAAATGGAATATATCCATACAATGGAATTTTTTTTTTCAGTCTTAAATGGGAGTGAAGTTCTAACACATGTTACATCATGGATAAACCTTAAAAACGTGTTATATAGGGGAAGCCAGAAACAAACAACCGTATACTGTCTGACTCCACTTATATGAAATGTTCAGAATGAGCAAATCTTTAGACAATAAATTAGTGGTTGCTTTGGGCTGGGGTTGGGAATAGGTAGCAACTACAAATCGGCACGAGATTTCATTTTTGGTGTGATGAAAGTATTATGGTATTAGGTAGTGGTGATAGTTAAACAACTCTATAAATATACTCAAAACATTGAAATGTGCACTTAAGTCTAGTGACTTTTTAGTTTTAGTTTTTTGCTATAGGGCATGAGAGAGAAAGTGAGAAATCACCCCCCCCCCGGAGAGATGGCCACACCACAGTCCTTCTCCTTTATTTTCCTCTTGGGATCTGGGACACACATACATGTGCCCAGTGTGATTTTTAAGCTACTGGGCCTGAGACTCAAATGATGAAGTCAGCCCAGTGGGATTGAGCACCTTAACCTCCATGTGCCTGCTGGCCCAAAACTAGTGACTTTTATGGTATGTAAATTATATGCCAATAAAACTATTTCTTGTGTTATTTCAGTGAATGGATTTAATGACCACACTGCAATACATGTAGCAAAATGTTTAAAGACACATGTACAAGGAGTCTTCAGATTGTTCATGGGAAATACATATTATGAAAACGCTATATGTGAATTTCAAAATTTTTTGAACCAAAATGAACTTGTACTTTGATTCCATATTTTCCATGAACTTTTTGAAGTCCTTTTATATTAAAAAATTTTTTTTTATTGGAGAGGTTTTTGCCATAGGGAGCGTGCGCTCGCCAGACAGACAGACAGAGGCAGAGAGACAGAAAACAAGAAATCACCCCCCAGGGAGGATGGCCACGCCACAATCTCTTCTCCTCCATTCTCCTCTCGGGATCTTGGGCACGCATGCACACGTGCCCGGCATGAGTTTTAAGCCACCAGGTCCAGGACGCGAACCGTGGTCAACTACATGGGAGTCCAGTGACATAGCCATTACGCTAACTGCTGGTCCCTATTAAAGAAGATTTTAAGAGTGCTCCTTCCTCACCACAATAAGAGTAGTATTTTTTTAAAATAACCCTCTTGGCTGACTCCATGGCCTGATAAGGAAGATGGATACCATATGACCTACCACGCAGTTTGAGTCCTGAGCCCAGCAGCCTGAAAAACATACCAGGAGCATGTGTGTACATGCCCAAAATTCCAAAAGGAGAGAGAAATGGAGAAGGGATTGCAGCGTGACCATTCCCCTTGGGAGGATGCTTTCTCCTCCCCCTCTCTCTCTTTCTAGTGAGAGTATGTGCCCTCTAACACACACATACAAAAACAACATTTTATTTTATTTTATTTTATTTTATTTTATTTTATTTTATTTTATTTTATATTGCCAGAGGGCATGTTCACTTGCCAGAGGGAGACCTGGGCCAGCTCCTTGACCTGATCGTTAAGAGAGCCAACCACGGTTTGAATCCTGGCCCCTAGCAGCTTGGAAAACACACCCAATGTGTATGCATGCATGCCTAAAATCCCAACAGGATGGAGAAAAAAGGATTGTGGCATGACCACACCCTATTAGGGATGCTTTAGTCCTCTCCTTCTCTCACACTCTCTCTCGGGCAAGCACCCTCTGCCAATTAAAAAAAAATTTTGTTAATAGAGGAAGAAAAAGCATCCTTCAGTGATGTGTAATCACACCAGAATCCTTTTTTCTATTAGGATTATAGGCATATGGGTACATGCACGTTTTTCAAGCAACCAAGGCCAGGATTTGAACCATGGTCAGTCATGTGGATCCAGCTCCCAATGCACAGCACTTAACCAT